ACACCCCTGTCATGCTGTCCGAGGGGACTAACACGTAGTGTCCCCCTTTGGTCTGGCAGAAAGGTGCGAAGGCCCAAACATACTGCCAGCATTTCCAGGCAGTTGATGTGAAGCCGACTCTCCTCTTTCGACCAATGGCTGAAAGCCGGTTTGCCATCGCACAGAGCTCCCCAACCCGTGTTGGAAGCGTCTGTCGAGACTACCTTCCTTCTGCAGACCATACCCAGGGGCATGCCCGATCCATCCACTGAGAGTCTTTCCAAGGGGCCAGGGCTGCTACGCAGGTCCGGCTCACCTTGACACGCATACGTCCATGGCGCCAGGCGTGGGACGGAACTCGTGGTTTCAGCCAGTACTGAAGGGGCCGTATGCGAAGCAGGCCCAGCTGAAGTACTGGAGACGCAGAGGCCATGAGGCCCAACATCTTCTAAAATGCCTTGAGAGGGCGAAGGGCTCCAATTTCGAATGAGGCCGCGAGCTGCCGAATAGCCAGTGCACGATCTGGCGCGACTACCGCCCTCATTTGGGCTGAGTCGAGAACTGTTCCCAGGAACGATATCCGTTGGCTGGGAGATGGCACGCTCTTGGCAAAGTTTACCCTGAGTCCCAGGCGCTGTAAGTGGCTGAGGAGTAAGGATCTGTGGGATACTAGCTCGTTCTCTGACTGGGCGAGGATGAGCCAGTCATCGAGATAATTTAGGATGCGTATTCCCATCTGTCTCAGCGGGGAAAGAGCCGCATCCATGCACTTCGTAAAAGTGCGGGGAGCTAGGGACAGTCCGAAGGGAAGGATCGTGTACTGATATGCCACTCCCTCAAAGGCGAATCTCAAGAACCGCCTGTGGTGGGTGGCTATCTGGATGTGAAAGTAGGCATCTTTCAGATCCAGCGAAAAGAACCAGTCCCCTGGGCACACTTGTGAGAGGATCTGCTTCAATGTAATCATCCTGAATGGCCGCAGTTCAGATGTCTGAGATTTAGGATGGGCCTTAGGCTGCCATCCTTTTTGGGGACGAGGAAATAACGGCTGTAGAAACCTGACTCGCTCTGAGCTGGGGGAACAATTTCTATGGCTCCTTTCGCCAGTAAATTCATCACCTTGGCGCGTAGGACGTGTGCATCCTCGCTCTGAACCGAGGTGGAGACCACACCGCAGAATCGCGGGGGTCTTCGAGTGAATTGCAGTGAATAACCTCATTCTATTATCCCCAGAACCCACCTTGAGAACCCGGGGATGGCTCGCCAGGCCTCGGCCCGCGTGGCAAGGGGTTGGGTTGGTTTGAGCGACAGGCCACCATGCGGGGACCCAACGCTCGTGAAATGCGGAAGAAGTTTGCTCTCTTTTTGAAAATGTTTGTATTTTATGTTTCTCGCTATAACAGCGGTAAGTTGTGCGGGCGCTAATTGAACGGGCCTGGGGTTCACAACAGTATTTACCACAAACACAATGCCATCGGTACCCGGAAGTGAACGGGGCACTTGGAGGCACAAAAGAGGCTGCTTGGGGGGTGGTCCGGCGATAGCGAGACTTTGCCCCCTCCTCTTCCTGTTCCGCGGATCAGGTTGACACTGGAGGCGCCGGGTCCAGCACTACCTTGGGCCGGGGTCCTTGGCGGTTAAGGAATGGGTAGCGTCTAGCCGAGCGGGAGCGATGCCAGGGCTCAGGCTTAGAGACCGGCAGTGCAGCTGATGAGGCGGGCTTCACGGGCTGCTGAGTCGGCGCCGTCTTGAGGCGACTGGCGGCAGCCACAGAGCTGGAGCGTTTTGGCAAGAAGTGTCGCATTGCCTGGGACGACTTCTGTGCAGCAGTGAAGCGCTCTGCGAACCCTTCGAGCGCAGGTCCAAACAGGCCAGAGGGGGAGACCGAAGAGTCGAGGAAGGGGACTTTATCCGCGTCCTTGATCTCTGTGAGGGTCAACCATAGCTTGTCCAGCAGACGAGTAGGCCCTTACAGCGAGTGCTGAAGTAGTCCTGCACGGCTTGGACGGGTGGGCGGCCTTTGCCTTCCAGCCGATGGCAGCCGATCCAGCCGTGGGCAGGCAGAGATGTGCGGCCACTGACTCATCCAGGGGAGGCAGTTTGTCATACCCCTTTTCTTCGGCGCCGTCGACCGTAGTGAGGGCAGACAAAGAGGAGGTACGCAGGTGGGCCGAGTAGGGGGCGCGCCAAGATCTGGTGATCTCTTCATGGACTTCCGGGAAGAATGGAGAAGCTCAATGTCGAGGGGCTTGACGGCGCCCCGGCAAGAACCATTCATCCAGGCGGCTGCAGGTGGGCTCCTCCAGCGGAGACCAATCCAAACCAAGCTCTTGAACAGCCTTAGACAGAATTCGGAAGAGTTAGGCATCCATGCCTGTGCTGGCAGCGCTGGGCTCTGCAGATGGCAGGGGGGGCGGGGTCGAAAGACGAGCCTGACAGCTCCTCCGCATCTGAGGCAGCCAGAGACACACTGTCGTCCATGGCGTCACACTCACTCCCACCAAACGAAACCAGATCGCTCGCAGCCGCAGATGGATGCTGGTCCGGGTGCGAGAAGAGGACGGGGGAAGCCTCTCTATGTGGAGAGAGTGAGGCATGCGGGGGCTCAGCCGGCATGAGCTCACTCGTCACCGAGCGCTGAGATCCTCTGCCCCGCTGCTTTTTCCTCACAGGTTCCTGGGAGGAAGGAAGCGAGGGGCGGAGTCGCTTTCTGAAAAGAAAGCTATCCGCGAGTGCAGAGAGGAGAGACTCATATCCTCGCAATGGGGACATTGCGTCTCGTTAAGTGCAGCTTCAGCGTGGGCAGCGCCCAAGCATGAAACGCACTGGCCGTGACCGTCAGCGGCGTGCAGGGGAGCCCTGCACGAGCGACAGTAGCGGCGCGGCATTTGTAACAACGCCGGAAATTTGCTCTAGAAATTTGCTCTTATAGTCGCCGGATAGCGGCAGGGGACTGGGAGACCACGCTGCTGCAGACGCCGAAGGCAGCTGAAGAGCGGCAAAGTCAGCCGAGCAGAGAGGGGTCACTGCTGAGCCATTGGTTAGTTTTTAATACACTGCACAAACCAAAGGCCGTGCAGTTTCACTGCGTGATTGAAAAAGGCTTCAGTATTCGAAGAAAAAGGAGTTTTCCCCTTAGCGTCTTAAGCAAGACGCAGTACGAGTGAAGTATCGATAGGGAAGTTGATGTACACTTAACTTAAATATCCACTTTATCCACTCAGTGACTATGTTGTACAATTTTGTCGATAAATGTAGTAAAAAAAATAACATTTATTTATTGGCACTTACCTGGCGTGTGAACTTGACAAAATGGCGGCTGCTGTCTCATGAAACCCGAAGTCACTCAGGCTGGCCCATGTGCGGAATGATCTCAATATTGGCTGGATTTGTGTTTAATTGTTCAGTCAACATTAGCATTCTGAATGTTGACTGGATTTGAAAATAAAACTTCATTTAATGTTTTTTTTTTTTTTTTTTTTTTTTTTTTTAACGGGATGGAAGTTGATGTACACTTAACTTAAATATCCACTTTATCCACTCAGTGACTATGTTGTACAATTTTGTCGATAAATGTAGTAAAAAAAATAACATTTATTTATTGGCACTTACCTGGCGTGTGAACTTGACAAAATGGCGGCTGCTGTCTCATGAAACCCGAAGTCACTCAGGCTGGCCCATGTGCGGAATGATCTCAATATTGGCTGGATTTGTGTTTAATTGTTCAGTCAACATTAGCATTCTGAATGTTGACTGGATTTGAAAATAAAACTTCATTTAATGTTTTTTTTTTTTTTTGTATTCATTTTTTTTACAGTGACTTCATGAGCAATAACTGCTTCATATTATATTATATTATATTATATTATATTATATTATATTAATGAATTGAACTGTTCTGTGTGAGATTTTTTTAATGATTTTTTAATAGAATTTCTTGGTAAGTAACCCGGCACTGTAAAAAATGTTTTCTCAGCTAACCTCAAATGTGCATCATTTAGTTTCATCAAGGGTCAAATCATATATAAATAGCACATTAAAGTAAACAAAAAAATGGTGTGCGCAATACAGATCAGGGCTACTGTTGAAAAATTATGACCGTTTTCAAACAGTTTCTGTCATATTATTTACAATTTTGGGGAAATCAATGTATGACTGGCTTATTTATAGATGTCTATACTAATTTAGCTGGGATACGAGAGAAAAAAATGACACTTCACCTTTGAGCAAATACATAGGGGAGATATTTCAACAAGTTTTATTGAATCTATTGAAAATGAAAAGGGGAAAATAATAATTTTCTGTTTTGGTTTTTCGCCCCAAGTGTGCACACAATTTTTGGTACATGTTTTAATTTTTGTACATTTTTAGATTATTCAATTTCTTCAAATTAAGTCAATTATTATTTTTCTCTTTAGAAGATAATCTCCTCTAAAGAATTGTTCCATCGTTCTAATAAAACAACTGTCTCATTGTTTAGTCCCAGCCCACTGACACAAGTTATAAGATGATTTGTTGTGGCATCTGGTCATTACTGTTAGATATCCTGACACGCAATACCACAGTGCCAACTGTGTTGTGCTTTACGTGTGTGTGTGTGTGTGTGTGTGTGTGTGTGTGTGTGTGTGTGTGTGAGTAGCCTACGTTTCTTAGTTTTTAAAGCAACTGTGCTTATGGGAAAAGTTGTTGTCAGCACAGACATTTGTTAATTTATTTGTATTTCTAGGACTAAACTGTCTAGTTTGTGTTTTTATGAATATACTGAATATTTCTATTTAAACTCATGTTTGTATGATATCAGCCCCTGAAGTGATTCAGGGGTTGGTAAGTTAGTTTTCATGTTTTTGAAAGAAGTCTCTTATGTCCACCAAGGTTGCATTTATTTGCACAAAAAATACATTGTTGTGTATAAATAAACAATATAAATATTGCAAAATATTATTACATTTTAAAATAACCGTTTTCTGCTTTATTTTAAAATTGTATTTATTCCTGTAGTGCAAAGCTAAATTTTTCAGCACATGAAGGATCATGTCACATGATCCTTCAGAAATCATTCTAATATGCTGATTTGCTGTTTAAGAAACATTATCAATGTTAAAAACAATTGAGCATGCATAAAGGCACAATATGTAGGATTTTCATGATAAAATATCCAAAATCCACTTGCACAGTGTGATATATTTCATGCAGCTGTGTACTTACGTTATCCCAAAAGTTCCCAAGGATATGTAAATCCAGAGAAATTCCAATTTTAAACAATGGCTCGTCCCTTGTCATTGTCACGTAACAATGATTTAATATCCACACTATCCTCGGTTTCCGCTTGTAGAAACTGTGTGGCAACACGTGGACAAAAATGCTGCTGTACAGTTAAACTAAATCCATTACGGCTGTCACAAATAAAATGAAAATGAAATGGAAAAGTGTTCACTGCAGCATTAAAATGTAGATCTGCTCAATGTTGCATCATGATTCTTTTTACGTGCTGTTACAGTGTTGCACATTATAACCAATCACACACGACTCCGTTGAGTTTATGAATCAGAGGCGCTCAGATGAGTCAGAGCTGAAACGCTGGAGTTTTGCTCTGATTTGATTTGAACAAAACCATAACTGTAAGAAATAATATTGCTATTTGCCTTAAAAGGAATCACTGAAGTGCTTTTAAAAATACTGTATTCTTTCCCATCAAAATCGCAAATTAGTCTATTTGTGAAAATACTATTTTCCTTTTTCCAAGTAAATAGGGCTTTACCATGGTTGATCATCAGGTAGTTATTCACAAAGTGATTAACGGTTCCTTCTATAGGGTCTTCTGTCAGTCAGCCCTGAGAACCTGAATTCATTTCAGGGGCCGAGAGCATGAGACAGCAGATCCTCGCAAATTAGTCTATTTGTGAAAATACTATTTTACTTTTTCAAGTAAATAGGGCTTTACCATGGTTGATCATCAGGTAGTTATTAGAGGTCGACCGATATGGGTTCCCCTGGTAAATCTGGCGGGGTTCCCCTGGTAAAATTCACACTCCAGGGGCTAAATATCACGTTATCGGGGTCGCTTTAACCTGCGGACATGAAAAACAACTCGCGGCAACAGTGATAAAGTAGCCCAATTCCGCGGGAAAACCGCGTCCTTGGCAACACTGCTGCTCCGTCTCACGCAGCCCAGAGGGAGTTCCGCAACAACGCTTAGCTGCCCGCCGGTGCGCCTGCCTATAAATCGACCTAATTTTGCAGCACAATCGGCCAATGCCGATTAATTAAAAAATGCCAAAAATCAGCCGATTAATTGGCCGACCTCTAGTAGTTATTCACAAAGTGATTAACGGTTCCTTCTATAGGGTCTTCTGTCAGTCAGCCCTGGGAACCTGAATTCATTTCAGGAGCCGAGCGCATGAGACAGCAGATCCTCTGTGTTTCTAAATAAAGCCTGAGCCTTTTGTGATCGCCCATGTGTCCTTTAAGAGACACCCCTCCCCCTCTCCCAGCGATAACCCCCTTCCCCCTCTCTCCGTCCCGCTCCTCCTCTCACACCCCCTAGCCACATTAACAGCTACCATGATGATACACACTCATCGTTTGCCTTGAGATGAAAGTGACGTTGGATTTGGGACGATTGTGATGTGAGAAAGTGTTGCTTTTAAATTGTAGAAAAAAACAAGAATCTTCTTCCCCACAATGCAGTTGTTTTTTTTGCATTGGAATGACAGCGTTGAGCCTGATTCCTTTAATTATTAATTAGCAAAATGTCGAGAAAAATTTATGGAAGCTAAAGCTGAGCATCGGAATGAGAGAAAATATGGTTTGTGGACGAACACACACTAGGTACAACGGGGATGCGTTACCATAACAACCTTTTCCGAAAGGGCCGCCCACTAGACTGTGTCAGTGGGCA